GCATCATTGTAGAAAATCTCTAGCGTTTTGTGCGTTGTTTCCAAACCAGCAGCTGACAAGCCTGAAGTATTCCCATCACAGCCTAATAAGAATTCAAGCTGCAGGGATTGTAGTCCACATATATGATTTTTCTCTTTATGTAAAGGGTGATGTCGGAAAGGGAGAACAGCTGCGTCTGTCTGGCACAGAGCCTTCCAGAATTGTTAGAGGCAGTTAGATGTGGCAGCACAACAGTGGAAAAACATATACAAGAAAATGAGCCTTGGTTATTGCACTGTAAATACATTTATACACACATAAATGGTTATGCTGTCCTTAAACGGCCCCTTTTTTCTCCCTTTTTTTGGGGGGGGGGGGGGGGTTAATTGAGCTCAGGTGTCTCTCATTGAGTGGGGGTTTGGTCATAGGTTACCGTATACTTACCTTTGCTGCATCTCCATAGAAATCTTTGGCATTCAGCCTTGCGCCTGTCAAAATTTATAGTGATACAAGGGTGCCTGCGCCTGCTATCGGCTGTCTTCTGTACCTTGGCCATGAAGCTACTAGGAGTCTTTGTAAAGAACAATCTGGATATTTGGGCTATAAACTGGGAATTATTTTTACTCTATTTGACTTTTCAGACGTGTCAGCACTGAAAATAAATCTATTATAAATACCTAAATAAACCACAAATATCCCTAAATAAAACCATGAAAAGGTCCTAGCCGTAAACCTTTTAGATTATCTTGCAAAAAAACTTCTATAGCTTAACTTTAATTTCATCTGGAGAACTTTGCTGTCTTACCAAGATATTAAAGAAACCCTGTCATGTACTAAAATCCTTTCATCAAAGGGAATACCTGTTAAGAAGCTTACCTCTTCTCCTGCCAGTTTTGCTCAATGTAACTCTCTGTTGGAGACCTGGTCCTCCAAAGCCCTTGGGAAACAAACACTTCCGGGAGTATTGATGCTTGTGGTAGGAACCTCACATCACTACTTATAATGAAGAAACCAAGAAAGGGCGCAAAGAACACTGGCTAGCTAAAGAAGTTATAGTGGAGACTAAAGGTGGTGGCACTTACGCGTGATTGCCAGGATCTGGAGATGGACGGCCGGTATGGAGGATCGGGGCACTCGTGGTGTGGTTCCGACTGTAGTTGATGTGCTGATCCGAGAGGTACATCCACAGGAGGGTGTAGACAAGAAGAGGGGACTTTGTCCGAAGTGCCGTTGGGGGTCTGTGCGGTGTGGAGGAGAGGCAGGGAGATCGCCGTGGTGTCGGCAATGGACAGGGCTGTAGCAGCCGCAGCTGTGTGTGTCAGCGAGCGGTCACTGTCAGGTCTGCTGGGGACAGTGTACGGAAGCAGCTGACAGATGCCGAAGGTCGAATCAGATGGGAATGTGTTCGATGGCGAACACGTGTAAGTCATTGATCCGTTTCCCATGTTTAGCGGCAAAATGTCTGGGGACACTATGGTCACGATCACCAACAGCAATGAAGCATCTGTGTTCGCCTATTCTCTTTCTGAGGGTACGAGTGGTGCGTCCAATATATAGTAAGCCGCAAGGGCACTTCAGACCATAGACCACGTGGTCATGCGAGCAAGTGATGAACTGTTTGATGGGGTAACTGATGTTAAGGTGATCTGTGAATGTGTGTTGACCATGAGTAATGAACTGACATGTAAGGCAGCGAGATTCCCACCCGTTTTTCTCCAGCTGAGAGATTCCAAAGGCTGTGTAGGCAAGAGACCTTTTGGATTTACAGACTCAATACCCTCGCCCCAACAGGACTCAATGAAGAATTAGAGATCCTGACCATCACATAAAACTTCACATACCAATACCCTACATGACAACTCCAATTGTCAGCACACTGGTTCTTGTGACACATCCGTGTCCCATTCACTCAGTGCCCTCCATTGAACAAGTTGATTTTCCCACCTAGCAGCCCTCCAACCAAGGTCCTGCTTTTACCAAAATACCATTCCACTCAATAACCTAGTAGTTTTTTATCCGAATACGACTTTTAGTACTTTTATTGCCCAATGGCTTCCCTCTTCCTCGTCTAACACTAGCAACTCCTTCCCATTGCCCCTTTCCCTACATATCAGTCTCCTATGGCCTTTATGCATATCAAGCTTTTAAATATATGCCCGGTTCCAACCACTCCGTTCTCAATTTCAAACCGCGGGATTGCCGCTTACTACCACTAGCCCCGCCCATCTGTCACTTTTTAAACCCGACGTATTCCCGACATCATCTCACTGCTTTACCCGTGCTTGAAAAAGAGGTAGTACCTCGAAATGCGTCGCTCTTGTCCGCTTTGATCCCTCTCCATCTCACCATTAATTCGACCTTCGGCATCTGTCAGCTGCTTCCGTACACCGTCCCCAGCAGACCTGACAGTGACCGCTCGCTGACACACACAGCTGCGGCTGCTACAGCCCTGTCCATTGCCGACACCACGGCGATCTCCCTGCCTCTCCTCCACACCGCACAGACCCCCAACGGCACTTCGGACGAAGTCCCCTCTTCTTGTCTACACCCTCCTGTGGATGTACCTCTCGGATCAGCACATCAACTACAGTCTGAACCACACCACGAGTGCCCCGATCCTCCATACCGGCCGTCCATCTCCAGATCCTGGCAATCACGCGTAAGTGCCACCACCTTTAGTCTCCACTATAACTTCTTTTAGCTAGCCAGTGTTCTTTGCGCCCTTTCTTGGTTTCTTGATTATTTGCATTCACAGGTTCTCCTGTTTCCCAGGGCTGCATACATGCCTCCAAGCTAACTCTTTGCCCATCCGAGAGCGCTGTTTATATGTTTTTTCTGTTTCTCACATCACTACTTGAATCACAGACATTGACACTCCCAGAAGTGTCAGCTTCCCAGAAGACTTTGGACAACTACCATTATTTATGCCACCTGACTTACCTTTGAGGAATGCTCCAAGTGCTGTATTTCTTGGACAGGTTGACTATCGGCAATTAAAATGATAATTTTGCTGAAACTATTCTACTTTTTTCTTTCTTTTGTAGGCATGCAATTTTAGAAACATATTTGAAATTTGTTTTTTAATGGCTAAACTTAAGCCCTGCTTTAGGCCCCAATATATTGACCCTTCCTGTCACTAGCATCAGCCTGGCAATCACAGACCTATCTGTTTACAAAAGCAGCTCAAATTGCCCTTTTTGTTCAGTTGCAAAGTTCCTCACCTACATCAAAATTGGCACAAATTAAACAGTGATTAGTATTTGTGGTAGCTTCTTGCTTCTTCTGCTAGGATGGTGCTAATGAAAGCACCTGTCATACAATATTCACTAAAAATACTGAATAAATGGAAAACCACATCAATTTGACCTTCAATGCTTTCCCTGCTATCTGTAGAGGCTAAGTCAGACTTTTCTCCCATTGGTAAAAAGCTGGAGCTGGAGGTCTTGGGAGGAGCAGAGGGGATGTTTGGGTGATATTTTGAAATTAGATTGTTGATGTAGTGTAGGGCAGTGTTGTAGATGGCTTTGTATGTTATT